TTTTTTAACATGCACCTTAGATTGAGTAAGTTGTCAGATGAGTATCATCTTGGTTGTGCTTTCATAGACACCTGTGAGAAGACTTTAATATGTGTTTTGCCGTATATTTTTGGTAAAACACGAAAAATACAGTGATCAGAGTTAAGTATCGGTGCGCGTTTACGTGTTTCATAGATTCCTTCGTCATTTGTAAAAACTAAATCAAGTGTTTTGTCTAGTCGAGTGGGAAATTTGACGATGTTTGTATGACCAAGTGCTTCAAGGAAGGAGCAATCTGACGGGTTGAAATCACCAGTGATACCAGATAAAGAACTATCGAAGTTGATAGCGGCAAACATGGTGAATTCGTCAGCAAAATTTGAAAGATCAGATAGTGAGCAACTGGGAGAAATGTACATGTTTGTAACAAAGATATGTTTTTATTTGGGGAGATGTTTGGGACGACATTTGACAGTAATAGAGTCTATGAAGTCATCTGAGAATGAGAAGCAAACATTATTTGAAATAGGCCATTTGGAGTGAATAAAAGTTACAACGCCTTCACCATCTTTGTTATTTCAACATTTACGGTCTTGTCTAAATAGGATGAAGTCCTTTAGTGAGATGAGGTTATCATCATACAGTTCATGTAACCACGTTTCTTGTAATGTGATTATGGCAGTATTATATAAGTGTCAGTGGACATCAGAGATTGTAGGTATATTATCTTGTTAGGCAGAGAGCGGCAGTTTGTGTTCACAATGACAGGGACAATAGTTAGGTGTATTGGTGTACGTTTGAGAGCTCTCTGCCAAACACTACGATGCTTCCTCCTTGATTTCTTGGGAGTATGAAAGTCATTAGGTCGTAAATGATCAATAAAGTTACGAGAGTAAATGATCCTGTTAGAATTCATATTTAGGTGATAAATAAATGCAATAAATGGTAGGTTGGATGCAATATGTAGATGTAGAAGAAGTTCCTTGAGGGAAGAGCTATACGCAGGTCAATACTAGATCATCTCGTCGTATTCTGCTAATAGATATTTAGACTTTGGTTCATCTCATCTCATCCGTTCGTTATCTGTCTGTGAAGGCAGGCTTAGTTAAGTGTCCAACAAAACGAGCAACAACATTACTGAGTAGCACAACAAAAAACCTAAACAATGAAACAAAAGGGGTAGAAGTGCTGGTGCTAGGTAACTAACTATCCTATAAAATTCATTAGGAAGATCAGAAAAGGTCAAAATGAAAACAATGGGGAAGGGAATAATGATAACACAAATAAGAGAGAATATAAGGCACCTATAGCAGTTTCTCCATATAAGGAGTGATGGATAACTGAGACCTTTTCTACGTGGGATTTTCAATATAGCTGGGATTAAGGGGTGGCATTTGAACCTACAAACTCACTCACATAGGACAATCTGTGTCTGTTTAAAGAAGCTGTTAGTTGACCCACTTAGACAAAATAGAATTTACAAAATACCTTGCAATCACTGAGAGTGAGGTCAAATATATAGGTCGAACAGACCAGTAGATCGGGAGTAGTGAGATCGCCTGTCAGAACCTAAAAATTTGGCTGAGGTTAGAATGATTGATTCGATAAATGAATCTTTTGCTATTAGCCTCTCCCTCCCCCCTGTTCTGTAATACATTGATGATTGCTATCGTATCCTATCCAGTCGTATGGTTGTGTGTGTGTGTGCTGTAGCTATTATGTTTTTAATTTTGATTACAGCTTGATGCCACACCATATTCTCAGTACAAGTATGGAATTTTCAGCATGGATATCGGTAGCCCAAATTTTCAGGCCGACCATAGATATCGGGTGTGCGTCGGCAGGGGATCGAACCCCGGACCATGTGCATGGTCGGCGAGAGTCCTAACCACTGTGCCACTCATCTGTCCGCTAGATTTCTTATCTTATTAGAGTCATATAATCTAGATATTTCTAGGTTTTTGTAATACACTCCACTCCACTGGTCTGATTGACCCCCCTCCCTCCTAATATTTTGACCTAAAATCATTGTAGAGTTATATAAGGTTTAGTATTATTAGCTACACGCAGCTCAATACTAGCTCATCTCGTCGGTACTGACTAAACATCAAATTAACTCTGACAAAGCTTTTAAAGTTATTTATCAATCGTAAATCACGCAACCTTCTGCATGGTCTACGAGTACGACTTTTACATACATACAGCAGAGGCAATCGGAATTCATCTGAACAAGCCAAATCTGTGTGTGTGTGTGTGTGTGTGGAGCCAGCCAGCCAGCCAGCCAGTGGATGATGAGGAACTACTAATTGAAGTAAAGGAATGCACGATTTCTTCGCTGTATCTGTTGTGTGTATTAAAGGAAATCACATGTGGTAAGCAAATAATGAATGATACTTCTGTTGATGTTGATCTGCTTAATAAATCCTTCATATGTATCCCTGCAGATGTTATGATTCCCAAATCTAATAGTATAAATAATGACTGCTTCTCATGCTTTAATACGAATGATGTTCCTAAGTGTCTTCAATCTCTCAAACCTACTCAGTCCCTTGGTCCTGATAGAGTTCTTGCTGTTGTCCTTAAGAAGTGTGCTGACATCTTATGTTCCCCATTAACTGACATTTTCAACGAATCTTTTTCCAAAAGTATTATACCTGACTCATGGAAAAATATCAAGGTTGTTCCAGTGCCCAAATCAACAAGTGGACCTACTGTCAAGTTTCGACCGATTGCTATTACCTCACCTTTTTTAAAAGTTATGGAAAGACTTATTTCACTTAATCTTTAACCCTCTTTAAAGCCTTTCAATGACCCCAACCAGTTTGCTTATAAACATAATAGGTGTACCTTAGATGCCGCTGTTGTTCTATATCATAATATAGTCTCCAGTTTAGACAGAGGAGCTAAATATCTTCGGTGTGCCTCTGTACCTAGGTCTCTCTTGCTAAGTAAGCTTGCTGCAACACAGAGTGAGAGCTGGACAAATAAGTGGTTGCATTCCTATTTTTCTGATAGGAAGCAGTACACTGTCTACAATGGGAAGTCCTCCACTACCGCATTTACTTTAGCTGGTGTTCCTCAAGGTGCTGTTCTTTCTCCTTTTCTGTTTTCTTTTTTCTTACATGACTTGCCCCACTCTGATGTAGCCACTTTTGTCAAGTATGCTGATGACCTCTTTGTCTGCATGCCTTTCAACTCTCAGTCAGACTGTTCCAAATTAAATAACTTTCTCTCGGAAATTAGTCAGTGGTCCTCTTCAAACGGTCTTAAGCTGAATCCGTCTAAATGTCAGGTAGTAAATTTCACTTTCAGACGGAAACGTGACCTACAAAACTAGCTAGTTCACATGGTCCCACTATCATTGACGGCATAGAGGTTGAAACTACATCTGATGTCAAGTACCTTGGACTGAGTATTTCCTCCGATCTTTCCTGATCCTCTCACATCTTGCTAGTTACTAGAAAGATGTTTCGCTTAACGTTCTACGTTAGGAAGTTAAGGCAGTCTGGTATAAAGCAGTCTTTGCTTTCTCAGTTTGTCAATTCTTGTATTCTACCCATCCCTCTTTACTGCTCCCCATTAATCTTTCCTGGACTACTTAAGAAACATTTTGCTTTGCTGAGGAGGGCACTAAAAGCTGTTAGTAGGGCAAGTGGGATTTCGTTAAACCAACTGGTTAACACCATTGTGGATAGACATATAATGTCATGTAAGAAACTAGCGAATACTATATTGTCAGACCCCGAGCATCCTCTCTATACGCAGATCTCTCCTTGCATTTCATCTGGTAGAACTAGAAGCAACTATACGAGGCTATATGCTAGGACTACCAAGTACAAAACTCCACAATACCTTATCTGGCACAGCTGTTATGTGATGAGAAATCCGTTAGGTATGATACGATCAACTTACTGCGGCACTCTAACAAATAGTTCCCATTAGCTTTTGTTCTCCTTTCTTTGTTACTATTATATTGTTGCTCACATATTCTATTACAGACTAATTTTATATTTCATATCCTGTGGTGCATTGTTGAAAATGTGAATGCAATGTTGTTCTTTTTTCATTTATTTTCTTTTTCTTTTTGTTGCTTTTTAGTTTTAAAATCTTATAGAATTTATGAGGTAATTAGATGCAGTATTGTAATGCACGCTGAAAATTCCATACCTGTATCACCAATACTGTTTGGAATAAAGCTATTATTATTAATATTATTATTATTAGTTGTCATTGCTATTTTACAAATCTCTTGATTATGTAATAACTTGTTGCTTACGCCACCTAAGAATCAACTTATCTTGAATTCTCTAATTATTTCATTTTCACCGCTTTCTTTAAAACTTTGATATCTTGTTACTAACACCTATTAGTTAACCACTTGATTGATTGGTAAAAACAATTTTGTTGTAATAATGACTATATATTAGTGTAGAGCGAGTTAGTCAGTCAGCCAGCCGGCCAGTGGATGATGAGGAACTACTCATTGAAGTAAAGGAATGCAGGATTTCTTCGCCGTATCTGTTGTGTTTTCTTCTGAATGCATAAGTGGGAATTTCTAAGTTTGTTGTATGATCAACAACATGTCTGCCATCGTGATTCATAGTTTGGTGTAAATGGAGCTTAATTAGAGAATCAAGTGAACAGCATGATAAACATGCAATCGCCTATTAGATTCGCCTTAAATATTTTGATATTGTTGGTTTAGAAACTTTAATAACATGTATTCTATTATGAAGAACTTTGAGCTTACAATACCATATTGTAAGAATACCAGTCTAAGATGGGTATTAAGGCTTTCCAAATAGACAAGGTTTGTACTTCAGTTGGATGATTTTTATTGCCTTATCTTCTCTGAGGATGATGTCTATGCAGACAACAACAACACCTTGTCGGTTATATCAGCTAGTTCAGAGAATACAACTAAATCAGAAGTCCTCTAAAGTAAAATTCACTAGAATCCCAAAGTTTGAAAAGAAAAATAAATAAATAAATAATAAGCACAAACTGAACACTTTTCGTACCTCTAACTCATTCATAATTTGATCCATAATATCTGTTGAAGTTTCTTTATATGCAACTGCAGCCCGTATAGCATCTCGAAATGCTTTTACAACATTCGTACCATCTGAAGCAGAAACAAAATAAAATGCCATTTTGTTTTTCTTTGGAAATTTGAATGTCTTCTTTGTCACGTCTACTTCAACTGAAATAACAATTAACACATACTATATAATATATACTGTTTAAAAGCTTATACCGTCTATCTTATTAGCAACACATATACAGGGGATATCTGGTCGATTTTCACGTAAATCTTGTAGCCATTTATCAAGATTCCTGTAGGTGATCTTCCGAGTGATATCAAATACAAAGATACATGCATGTGCTTGATGATAGTAGGATGCATGCATACTTTTAAAGCGTTCTTGACCAGCAGTATCCCAGAAATCTGAAATAGGGTTAATACACCAACATGAAAAAGAAAAAGACACCTCACCTACCGACTGAAATTTTCTTGCCTTCAATTTCTGTGTAATATCTGTAGAGATTTAAAGCATAGGTTGATAGCTGGTGTTGCTGACTTACAAGCTTAAGGAAGAAAAGTATGTAAGTAAGTAAGTAATACTGTGGTATATATACATATATAATGGCACTTGTTTATAAATTTGATGCCTTATAAGACAGATAACATGTGTGCTAGTTTTCAAAGAAAAAGTAATCAAAGATGTGAATCTTTGTGCAGAGACAATTACATACGGATAGCAATAAAATAAGTGGTAGCCTAACAGCAGAAGAAAGTATTCCCCGTCTTTCTCATTAAACGAGATAACTTGATCTATCAATTGCAAAGCGACATCTTGGTAAACACCCATTAGGACATTAGAAAGAAGAGAACAAGAAGTTCAGCAAAGATATGCTTTCGGCGACTTCATTTTCAAAAGCAGCTGTACAATCGCATTTAAAAATACATCAACTTACATCGATACAACTACTATTGTTATTTAATTCCACATAATTACGAAGGTGAATAAAAGGTGACAATTATTTACCAACACGATGTGGATTACGAGGAGAGATCTAGAAGCAAAAATTACACAGGATTAGAATATAATTGTAAGATAGTCATTATTTTAAAGGAATCACAAATGTGAGCAGGAAGAGCATGGGAACGAATTTAAAATAACTGTTCGTATAACTGAAAACAAAAATGAGATGAATTGAATGAAGACGAAGAGAGAAAAATACGCGCACAGACATACAGAGAACGAAACAAAAAAACCCCGGAGACTAAGAGAACATACCGATCTACGTCCATGGTAATTGTAAAGGCTGGACTAGAGTCTTTCGAAGACACAGCTGCTGCTTTTGGAAATGAAATCGTCGAACAAAAGTAGAAGACATGTCTCGTCAGAAGCTTGAATTCTCATCAGTGAGAAACTTTTTCACGAAACCCAAAGTGATTCTAGTCATAATATTTGACAGTGATGAATTTTTAAAAGTCTGACTTAGCATTACCGATCAAGTAAGAATTCACATGAATTCAACCCTAACGAATAGAGTATAAAATACAATGGATTGAGATTTCATACTATTTATTCCCCTGTTTGGAATGTAAACATTCTCGAAGAAGTTCGATTAGTGATGACTAGGTAAAAGTGTGGTGATTATTTCCATCCCTAGAAGCATATTTTGTTCGTAGACAAAATTGTACATCATTAGTGCAAAAGATGCATATGAGTCGTGTTCATCTACCGACTACTGACTAAATATTAAAACTTATTTCAAGGTTTATGCATTAAAAATTTGTGGTGATTGTATTTAAATTGTTTAAATACTTACTGTTGTTTGTTAATATATTTATTATTTTGATTTGAAAATATAATTCCGCCAAATACAAATTCCTAAATTCATCCCTCTCAGTGTTTTGGTTGAGTTCCTGTAATTCGGTCATTGCGAAATACAAATACTACTATTACAAATAACAATCACATTTTGGCGTCGCAATGGAATTAAATAGTCTTGGAAAGTTTCCTGTAAATGGAAACCGTGGCCTAGGTCTTGTGAGGTTTGGCAGCGTATTCATGCAGATTACTGTGGTCCATTCTTAAATTCATACTATGCTTTAATTATTGTGGATTCTTATTCTAGATGGCCAGAAGTTATAATTACAGATAGTTCTAATGCGAAATTCACTCACAGAGCGTTGAGAAAGATTTTTAGTCGAGAAGGAATTCCAGATGTCTTAGTTACTGATAATGGTACTCATTTCACTGAGAAGAACTTCAATGATTGGCTTAAACACATAGGTTGCCCTCATCTGTACACAGCACCACGTCATCCTCAGTCAAACGGTTTGGCAGAAAATTTCGTACGAACATTAAAGAGTGCCATAGCATCAATGAGTCCTAAGAATTTTGATGAGCTAGAGAGATGTGTAGATAACTTCCTACTTCAATATCGCAATGCGGAGCATACAAGTAAGTACCCATGAAAGTCCTGCTAAACTGTTCAAATCTCGAATTCTCAGAAAGCACCTAATGTCTACGACTTCTGATGTACATTATTACAGAGGGAATGACTATAGACCTTCTGTTGGAATCATACTACAAAAAATGGGAAATCGAATGGTGAAAATATTAGACATCGAAGATCATTCAATTCATAACAGACACCTGGATCAAGTGAGAATAAACGAAGTAGGTCGTTCCGATTATAATTTTAATGATTCCCCTACTAATCCTGATATTGTAGATAGTTCAGAAATAAGTCCAGATGATACTGATGAAAATAATATCACAGAATCAGTTAGAAGATCCCAGAGACTTGCAAGCAAACCGAGACCTCATTATAAATACGCAAGGAGACATTCGACATGTGGCGGATGTGGCGATTGACAATTTCTATCTTTGTATTGTTTAAATACTTACTGTTGTTTGTTAATATATTTATTATTTTGATTTGAAAATATAATTCCGCCAAATACAAATTCCTAAATTCATCCCTCTCAGTGTTTTGGTTGAGTTCCTGTAATTCGGTCATTGCGAAATACAAATACTACTATTACAAATAACAATCACAAAATTCCTCCATCCGACAAGCTACCTAACTGAAGCGATAAGTCTAAAAGTAACCAAATAAAACTTTTGGAGGAGTGCCTCATTTACCTTTCTGAAGCCTCCCAAAAAGCCCCGTAATTGCATTATAGCAAAGGCATTAGAAACACTTATAAGGGATCAGCTCTTAGCTCATGTGAAGAAACATGGCTTACTGGTGGTGGAACAGCACGGACTCCGACTAGGACCATCTTGCCTGACAAAATTAATGTTAGCTAGGGAAAACTGGGGTGAGGCCAGGAATAATAAACATCTGTTGGACGTTGTCTTTATCAATCTTAGTAAAGCATTCGATAAGGTATCCCATTAGGCGTATTCTATATACGCTGTGTATAGTAATGCCTGATACTGTTTGTGGTAGTAGCTTGTCTAAAAGAGGCCTAACCAAGTTAACGTCATGCTCGAATCTAGTCTTGGGATCGAGGGCCAGTGACTCTTCCACTTTGTGGAGAATGAACGACCTGTCAGAGATCAGGTTTGCTTGTCGTGGCTTTCTTGCTCTGCGGCGTAAGTGTGTTTCTGTCCTTCGTGGGCGGTGCAGCCAAAGTGTTATCCTTGTCTCGCTTTCTGAGAGAGACTACGTTACGCTACTCATTGGCGTTCTCCTCGCTAATCGTAGTAGGATTCATCTGCCTGCTACTCACCGGTGTGGATGAGGTTTGATCCACGAGTCCCTGGACGACTTGAGCTGCAGGTTTTCGATCCCTGGTACGCCTCTTCTTTGTGGCAGTCTTTCCATTACTGTCACTGGAGGGCTCATCCAGTATCGTGGAGGCAGCCTGGGTGTTTGGAATGTGGTGGGTACTCTTCTGTGCTGAAGGGCACTCACTTATTGACAGAAACGCATCGGAGACATGTGCTGTTTTGTCGGTGACGCTAGTCACTTCATCGTTGTCTGAGCAATAGTCGGTGTTCTCCTGCGGTGGAGGACGCTTGCAGTCCATGAGCTTTAAAGCCCCACTGAGAGTGGCAATGGCTTCTGTAATACGGAATTTGGTAGTACTACAACAGTCATCGCACAACCAGTTTGCTAGAGGTTTGCAGCAGCGTTTGTATGGTGCAGGAGTTAGGTTTGTGCACATAGTGTGAAACCATCTCTTGCAGTTATCACACTGCATTCCCTCATCCACTGGGAATTGGCACATAACCCTTCCGCAGCGGTTTCTTTTGGTGGGCATACTGTATAGAGCGAACTGGGGAAGAAATTTAAATATGACTTTAAATGTATATAAACCTTTATAAATCAGTGGTAAAAACCAATGAGTGCACAAAATAGATATATATAACTATTAGGTTATAAGACACAACTTCCTATAATTTAAATAGACTCAAATCTGAAAAGTAAACTAACTTTGATCAGAATAAACTGATTTAAAGTTAATCTGTAAACTTGTAGAGCATATAACACAACAAAAGCCAAAACTAAACAAGAGCGTGTAAAATTCACTCCCTTTTCTCCCTATCTCTCTAGGATACATTTGCGAGTTCACCACAAGAAGGTGTTCAAACCGAGGTCGGATAAACTATGTGTGGAATTTAGATTCTCTCACAAAGTAGCCAACGACTGGAACTCCTTGACTGACTCAGTAATAACAGCTTCATCGTTGAAATTAGGCATGTGCAGAGATATATGTCACAAGCATTAACATAAGCAACAAGAGCCTTGTATTCTTATAATTGGAGTCTGCCTATATTGGAGATTTTAGAATGAACTAAGATGTTCTTTAGTACTTAAAGAGATCTTTAAATATCCTGTCAGTCAATCTATAAGTTCAATCCACTCAAAAATATTATTCTTACAAAGTAGTGTAACATGTGCGTTTGCTACCACACAAAAAATATCTACAGATGCGAAGTCGCATTTCTCCTTATCAGATCTACATTACTGTAGGCCTACTAAATCGGACGAAAATGGGTGATAAATAGTTAAATAATGGTTATTATGGACAGGTTTCAGGCAAATGGAAAGAATGGAAATATGGTGATGAAATCCTGGTTAGACATACATATTTGTATGTTTACAAGTGAGGGTTAAAATGGGAGAGTACTGGTAGAATAATGGACAAGGTTGGTGACATTTTCTTTTAGTATTGGCCAAATCATATGATTTATAATTATATCTTCCTGTATATAGGAAGTTTTTGATTATCAAAATACTAGTCAAATATCAGGTAATTTAGGTAAATTTATGTCACACAATCAAAATTCACCCATTTTTTCTTACTATTGGTCATGCCCATTATTCACAACGGTTTTACTATTTTTGTCCGACTGAGCATAGTTAACTATAGGATGAC